CCAGCACAGTGAATGGTGCAGTGTCCTCTTCTTGGTGAATGTCATCTGCAGAGGGCCTCGTGGGCCCCATCACGACCCGACCAGGGTCCTCCATGTCATCTCCCATGGACTGTGGGGCTCCTACTCATCTCATGAACACTCACCTCCTTCTCTTACAAATGGTATCTCACTCCTTATATTTACATGTGGGCTTCATGTCATGTACTACAGAACTATACAGAAAGCCATCTGATGGTTTACTACATGTACATCAGGAGCTATTCATATAAGCGAAAATATTCAAACAGCTTAATAGCAGGTAAATTAAACCATTTTTGCAGGCCATTTGGTAGAAGTTACATTCATTTGATCTACCTATAGAAACAAAGTTTATTAAGATGTAAATGCATAAAAACCGTATAGACTATAACCCCAAGCTGAATTACACTTAGAAACACCTAAGAGCTGGGGATGTAGCTCAGGGGTAGAGTGCTTGCCTAGGATGTACAAGACTCTGGGCTCCATCCTCAGCACCAAAACACTATACCTGAGCAATGATTTGTTCTCCATCACTGTAGACTTTGGTGCCTATCACATCTACTACTTTCAGGCGTTCAGAAACCTACAAAAAGAAAAAACAAAGACAGTATTAAGTAGATACACAGTAACTGGGTGATCTCAGCCTGTTACACAAGTTGAAAAGTGGTAGCCGATAGCAAAATCATCATTCAGCAGTGTGTAGGTTGTATGTGTGTTTGTATTAACTGCCAGCATCTTAAAATATACAAATCTGTATTTCTAGCCATTCTTGAAAAATCAGAATATTCAGCAACTCTCAGCTCAAAAATCCACACGGCAACAATAAAACTACAGTGGGATAGCAGCTGTTTCTCTAGTGGGAGCACGTGTCCTCCAATTCGCCAGAGTCCCTCCTGGCTTGGTTTTCTTCTTTATGTTACTGGCCCAGCTCCGAAGGCATTGGATTTCCATCCAATCCATTTCTATTTAAAGAGCTAAGCTGCTGGAGAAGATCAGCTGCCTAACATGCGTTCTGTAATGCAGCCACAATTCTACCAGGCATGACCTAACAATCCAACAGACGTTAGAAAGGAGAAACGTGACCATGGAGACACATGTCGTAGGTACACAGAAGTGCCCCTCTGTCATTACTCTAAAATATTTCAAATATGAAACTAAAATATCTAGAAATTTATTAACAGTGATGTATGGAAAGTAAAGCTGAGTTTTTAGGGTAACAACTCTCTCTCCAAGTTTCTACTTTCAGAGATAAAAACATAAGCAGGCGGTCTCACTCACAAGACATCTGGGCCAAGAAACGCAGGAGATGAGGGAACGAGCCACAGGGCTGTGTAGGAGGACACTGCAGACAGATGGCATTATGCCGGCCCCGAAGCAGGTGAGGGCCGTGGGTGTGAGCAACAGCAGGAAGCTGTGTGTCTAGGACAGAGTGACGAGAGGGGAGCGGTGGCAAACGGAGCTGGGCCCGTCAAGTCCTGTGCAGAGGGGCTTGCACGGAGGACTCCACCATCTGGGCTGTAGAGTGTTATGCTGGCAGCAGTTACAAACCAGGCAAGCGGGGACGATGGCCCACACAGGAGGTGACAGTGACAAAGTTGGTGGGAAAGGACCAGATTTGGAATATATTCTAAAAATAGGGCAGATAAGGTCACCATCAGATTGGTCATGGGTGGGGAAAACAGATGAGTAGTGCAAGCTCCAAGGGTCCTGCCCTGAGACACTGAAAGGATGGTACTGCCAGCCACTGGACGGGAAGGGAAAAGGAGATCTGGGATGTGGTAGGTTTGAGATGTCCGTAAGGCACCTGCTGGGAGATGTTAAATAACCAGGTGGTGGCAATGTCAGCTTTGGAAGCTTATCAGCCTATACACAGTATGCAAAACCATGGGGTTTGACACATTCACCTGTAACTTGAGAGGAGATGACAGCAAGCATGGGGCCTGAGATACTAATTTTAAGAGGAAAGGGAAAGAGGAATAAACGGTAACGATGAAGCCAGGGAGGACAATCAGTATGTAGGTAACTCCTCCCTGGAAGGCACAACTGGTGGATCTTGCCAACATTTATCCAACTAAATCTGCTATTAGCTAAAGATCACATACAAAATCTATTATAGATGCTAGCTAGGATCCTGCTACTTATAAATAACGAAGATATGTAGTTATAGGCAGTAAAAAAGACCAAAATTGAATACCTGACATCACCATTTGCTGTTTTCCAATGGATTTTAATTCGAAGGAATTTTTCTGTAGAACTAACTATTCCTAACAAAACGGAAGTTTTGAAGCAGAATAAAAGCACAAACATATACTTACCTCTAAAGATTTAAGGAATGGCAATGACTCAATAAAGCTTTCATACATTTTTCTCTTTTTGGCATTGTTTTTTACAATTATTCTCCTGAAGGTTACCCTGTCCTAAAAGTAGAATATCAAAAACAAAGACAGTTAAAATGTAAATTTATGTAGGAAAAATTCTGAACAAATAGTTTTACTCCCTACCAGAAACAAACAATAACTGAAGGTTTCAAAATAAAAGATTTAACATCATTGTACTTTTAATTCAACTTAGTTCAGATTTTTATTCCTTCAGGCACAAAATGTTACGACAGAACGTTATAAAATAATTTCATTTTCTTATAAAGGAAGCATTAATTTACTTTTATGTATTCCTAACAAAATGTGACTAACACATTTGGCTATAACCACGAGGAGGCGCTGTCACACCACTGTAAAAAATAGCACTGTTCCTTTACTGTGCATGGCAGCCCAAAGGGCTGCAATAGGAATTAGGTGGGACACGACCAGCATTTTTTTTTTTGTCCGGGAGATGGAGCTCAGGTCCTTGCGCCTGCGAGGCAAGCGGCGGAACCACTGAGCTAAATCCCCCGCTCGACCAGCATTTTTATAAAAAATAAAGTAGGACTGAAAATCTTGAGTGACTTCCTCAGAGTACTGCTTTTTTTGGGGGGGTGTTTTTTTTTTTGGTACCGGGGATCAAACTCAGGACCTTGCCCTTGCGAGGCAGGCGCCAGAACCACTGAGCTACATCCCAGGCCCCTCTCAGAGTCTTGCTTTATTAAATATTTTATGTATACCCAAAGACACATAAATTCATGTACAGTCGTGATGTTTATGTGTCTCCTAATGCAGAGTAGAAATCATAAAAATGCTACTAGAAAAAATTTAATCATAAATTCATAATGTAAGAGAGGCCTTGAAAAAGTACTTCAGGTTCTTTTCCTTATCTACAGTGTGCTAGAATTTTCCTTTCTAAAAATGTGAAAGCACAGAGAAACTGCACTTTCTTGAATAAGGTATAATGCCAGGGCTTATCATGTGTAAAATCTAAAATCTTTATTTATGTTCATACTATATGATCCAAAAGATGCAGAATTAACTAAGGAACTAGGCAAATTTTTAAGAATGACAGCTCAAAATTATTTCTCTAAAATTATTTATTGAAAAAAATCTCATAAAGTATTATTTTAATTCTTTAATGAAAACCCCATTAATTACATAGTTTGGCATTCACTGATGAATTACACCATCTTAATAAAACCAAGACGTTATTATGCAAACATATTAAAGCTAAATTTAAATGTACTACAGTGTGATAAGGAAAAATCCCAGCCAGGTGTGGTGGTGTAAGCCTGTAATTCCAACATTTTGGAGGCTGAGGCAGGAGGATCAGAAGTTCAAGTCCAGCCTGGGTAACTTAGTGAGACCTATCTCAAGAAAAAAAAAAAGGGCAAAGTGCAAAGGTCCCAGTTTCAGTCCCCAGTAACTGGCAGAAAACTGCAGTATGGATGTAAATATCTAAGTGTGATGGACACAATGTTTCTGTTCCCCTAAAATTGATTTGTTGAATGTCTAACCTTCATTGTTAAGTATTAGGAGGTGGGGCCTTTGGGTGGTGAAAGAGGCCCTGGAGACCTGCCTTGGCCCTTGCACCAAATGAAGACACTGTGAGAAGATGGCCACCTTTGAACCAGGAAGCAGGCCTTCACCAGACAACACATTTTCTGCTGTCTTAATTGTGGACTTCCTGGCCTCCAGAACTGTAAGGGATGAATGTCTGGTAAGCCACCCATTCTACTGAGTTTGTTCCAGCAGCCCAAACAGACTAAGACGCTAGCAAATTAAAAAGCCTGCTTGTTCCCCAACTGAGTTTATTACCATTTTGATACTGCCTGTAATTTGACTTAGAGTCTTAATAATTTCACAAAGAGAAAAAATTGTAAGAGAATTCACAAAAATATTGAAATCATTTCTAAATCTAGCTTTGGAAGAGAATCAGCTATAGTGATTTCTGAGATCCTAGACTTTAATGACTCAAAATCTCTACATGTCAGGCTTATTAATAAGCTCTACTTTATAGAAGTTGCCCAGGTAATTCTGATTATATAATCACTTTTGGGAACCGGGTACACCACCATTTTATGGATAAAGGTTATTGCAAAACAGAGAAGACCTGAAATAGTTTAGCAATTTAGAGATAACTGTGAGTTAGACCTCTCAGGAAGAATTTTCTATTAATGGCCCACTCTTCACACTTGCTGTGGCATATAAAGCCTGGAAAGTTCATCTTCAAATACTTTCATCCTAGTCATTTCAATAATGGCCTCCCTGATCCTCAGAATGGTCATGTAAATCAGCTGATCTCTTAAGGCCAACAGGAACAAAGCGAGTACAACAGAGTGTGGAGTGAGGCTCCTCAATAAAGACTTCCCTTGGAATTTGGTTATCTTTACACTCGCACTTCTATGCAGAGCTCCAGTCTGTTAACCATAAACTTTTCTTTTCTACTCAACTTTCCCTAAGAAGAGTTGGTTAGGCCAGTTGCTATTAAAAAGCAGGCTAAGGGCTGGGGATTTAGCTCAGTGGTTTCGCCGCCTGCTGAACAAGCACAAGGATCCGAGTTTGATGCCGGGCAACCAAAAAAACAAACAAACAAAAAAAGCAGGCTAAAATATTAAGTAATTATGTTAATTAGCATAATTTTTTAAAAAGCTATTCCATTTGTATATGTACCAAAAGATGATTATCACAAACTGCCCCCTTCCATACACTTTAACAACATGTCTGGACTGCCAAAAATTTCTTCAAAATGTTTCTTGAGAGCTGAAGTATTATGCACCCTGAGAAATCCTGAGCTTCTACCTAATTAAGGTTTCCATCAGGGCTGAAGACTCAATATTCAAAGGGGTCAAATATTTCATCTTGCACCCGGATGTGTGAGGAGCTCCCTTGCTGGGTGACAATCTCACCCAGGCGGGCAACCCCACTGGACGACTGCGTGCTGAGGTTATACCGTCCTCAACAGCACGGGTCATGGCAGATGCTGGACTATTCCCACCACTCAGAGGCCAGGCAGACATTTCATGTGAACCAAGGTCTGCTCTGGTGTAGTTCTTCTCTGCTGGCTTTGGGGACTCAGATCGTTGGGAGTCCTTAAAACACTTCAGATGATGAGTTTCCTTCCACCTGAAACAATTCCAATTTTTTTTCTACAACTTAAAGCAACTCATCACATTTTTAGGAAGTGCCCAGTAACTGCCTGGTTCTAATAGAGAAATGCAAAATGTCTTGTTTTTCAGATCAAGAGATATTTTTATCAGCTGAATCTACTTATGAGTCAAAACCCTAAGCTGAATAATGTGCACATTCTATAAGGCCACAGTCCTTGGAAACGAAACAGTTAACAAATTTCCTACTTATATCAATTTCTTCTCTTTCCACAAAACGATTTGAGAAAAATAACCCAATAAATGCATGTCAAAGTGGGCTACTCTAGGGTGGGCTGTTTTCCTCAATTTAAGGCAAATACATGCACTGGGAGCCTTGCCTACAACCGTGCTGCTTAAAGTGAGGTCTGACCACAGGCATCACTGCTAACCCTGGGAGCTGGTGAGAAAGGAGACTGCAGGCCTCACCCAGACCCCTGGATCCACTCCATCGCAGACTCGCAGGATCTGTAGGCTATCGAAGTCTGAGAATCACCACTTGAATACAATCTTCCAGAATCAGCGTTATTAGCAGGTGATCCTTCGCATCCTACTATCACATGAGAAAATAATCTCCCTGCTTACTCTATTTCTTCCCCGAATACAGTATGTCTTCAAACCAACTTTTAAGTATGTGCTACCACTGAAATTTTACTTAAAGGCACAGGTCGAAATGCTTGAGACCAGCAGTTTCAGATTTTAGGGTTTTTTCAAATTTGGGGATATTACATACATATAATGAGATCTCTTGGGGATAAGATCCAAGTCTAAACACAAAATTCATCTATGCTTCCAAAACACCTTGCATGTGTAGTCTGAAGCTAATTTTAGACAATAGTTGTAATGTGTGTTTTGACTGTGGCCTGTCACAAGAAGTCAGGCATGCAATTTTCCACTTGTAGCATCTTACAAAGTAAGATTGTAACACTTACAAAGTGTTAGATTTTGGAGCATTTCAGATTTTCAAATTAGAGATACTCAACTTGTACTCATATCTAGATCCCACTGCTGAGATTCTGATTAAATTTGTCTGTGGTAGGGCCTAGCAAGAGGACAAAGCAAAACAAAAAAACCAGATAATTCTGATATGCAGCCAGGCAAGAAGCACAGGTACCGAGTATTTTGCTGTACACAGCTGCTCTTAAATACAAAGGTGGTACCGATCAATTGATACTGCCAAGTGAATCCATTTCTAGTGGTTTCTCAAACTAGCATATATCAGAATCACCTGGAGGACTTGCTCATCTACAGACACTGAGTCACAGACCAGCAGTGCATGGAGCCCTGACTGGATTTCTAACAAGTTCCTGGGTGATACAGACACCAAGACCAGGGGAGAGCACTTCAAGAACCTCACATTTATGACTGTATTATGCTACTTAGAAAGCCATCTGAGAAAAAGCACTGAAGTCCTTGAAGGGTTTGTAAGAGTGGGTGGGAGGAGCATTTTGGATCTGGTATCTTCCTCGGGGCTGGCAGATCTCAAGCTCCGGACTTGACTGCAGGATGGGGACACAAAGTTCTGACAGCATGGTCTTCATGCCCAAACGTTCAGAAGTATCCAGCAGTGGCTTAATAAACTCCCCAAATAAATCTACCTATGAGAACGGAAATACAGTATCTATCTGGCTGTTATTATTACAAGTAAAAACATTCAGGTCAAATAAATACTTTACTTACCAAACCCCACAGAGCACCGGGAGAGGTAGCAGTGATTGTAGCTGCTCTGGGTGTATTGTACATTAAGGCCAGCTCGCCAAAACTCCCACGATTGTCGTAATTTCCAACACATCTTCCAACACCGTCACACTTTACATAAATATCAAATGTTCCTCTGTTGGACATATGTAAATTGGAGGCAAAGGAAACTCAAATAAAATCCCACTGCACTTAAACTATTTCAGAAATGAGTCCTGTGCAGTAAAACCTTACTTCCAACCTGTCTACTGCTCTGACGACAAGTAATAAAAAGGCACCAGTGCATACTAATCTGTCCCTACCATGTGCTCACTTCGGCAGCACATGTACTAACCTGTCCCTACCAGCAGGAGGAGACCATCAGCTAGACTACAGTAGGGGCCTATGTATGCCTGCTGGGAAAGTGGAACTAAACATAAAAATTTAAGATAATAAATGACAAAAATATAAGACTACATATGTCAAACACTGTACTTATAGCATAAGAATAGCGAGGAATAATCAAGGGATGATGATGTACTATTACTTTTGTGATCAGAAGAAAATTTTTTTTTAAGAACAGAGCTGTAACAATTTGGTTAGCTCCTATTCTATAGAATGCACTGGGAGCCTTTATAATTGATAGCAGTGGCCAGCCCAAAGATTGGCTACTTTGTTTTAAATAAACTTTTATTGGAATACAAAGGCTTGCTACTTTATGCATTACATATGACTGGTTTTGCTCATACTGGCAAGGCTGGATAGTTGCAACAGAAATCATATTAGTCCACAAAGCCTCAAATATTTACTCTCTGGCTATACAATCTTGAGATCAACCTGAAATCTAGACTTAAAAAGTAACAGAAATTCAGACTAAATATAGGATCCTCGTCTTTTTATAGTTTTTCTGTGCCTATCTTTTAATTGGGGTTCTTTTTCTAGGCAAACAAGACTCCATTTGCTTGTCCACATTATCCGGGGCCTACACTTCTACAAACTCTTCTCTGGGTAGCGGGGCTGTCTCTCCACGTACTGTACAGGGAACAGGGGGAACAGGGCTGCAAGCCTTGCTGAAGCACCTGGGAAAACACAAAGGGAAGCTCTTTATTCTGCTGGCTAAACCCTAGCAAAGATAAGAAAGAGAGGTGGTGGCAAGAAAGGTAGTGACAGGATTAGAAAAGGATTACAAATGATAACAAAATAATAACAGCAGAAATACAAGGTAACAGATAAAAGATAGTAATAAGGAAGAAAATACAATAATTAGGTCTTTAATATAATTCATGGACAGAATGACTATTTCAAGGTTCATTCTAGAATTTGTTTCAGGGAGCAATTATTTTTCAAGTACAAACTGAACTCTTCCATTTACACCAACTACACTTTTCCACTGAAACTGTTCTCTACCTTTTAACATTTGAACAGGATCAATATACAGCAAAAAGTAGTGGTAAGTACATGCTATCAGTTCAGCTGAAACTACACCAGTTTAACTTTTGTTAGAATACTGTGGGCTGATTTTCATTCAGATTTTGTCCCTGATAATGCGAGGCCTCAGCAGCACCAGCCCCAGGAAAGGGCTGGGAGGGAGGCGGTGGACATGGAGGTAAGGGCAGAGCCACACTGAGCTGCCACGTGACCCGAACCAAGCCCTCTTGCTTCCATGTGCCTGAAAGTTTCATCTGTCAATGGGTGAACATACTATATTAAAATATAAGGCAGTTTTGAGAGTAAAACATGCCCACTAAAAAAAGATTAATACCATACTGTATTTGGGGTTCTCATAGTCTCCTACAACTAATCATAGCTGAGTGATCTTCTAAGTTGTTTCACTGATGAAAGCTATTAATAATACCAAAATCATGACTAATTTATATACGGGATGACTGGTTTTGTTCTACTCCAAAATCCTAGCAAAGGCCTTGGGAAGAGGTTACTGAGCATGGGGATGAGGTGTGGAGGAATCATCCAAGGAGCATGCATGACCGATGTGTGAGAGACACTGCCACAGAGCCACAGCAGGAAACAAGGAACCGAGGCTGGGGACCTGGGAGAGGAATGAGTCAGCAAGGCCTCTCACCCCCAGCCCGGGGAAGCAAATGCAACCCGGTGGACCAGGCTGGGCAACCTGCAGAGCTCAGGGACACCCGCCACAACACACGGACACCTCGTCATCGATTTACAAAGGGAAGAAACACAGACTCACTGCAGACTGCTGCCCTGTTTTGGTCGTCCTTTACCTACCACGTAAAGCACATTGTTCTTTGACGAAGTAAACACAAATGAAGTTTTCTGAAACTAGATTTTCAACAGCAAATGCATATCTTCTCATTTGAATAAAATAGTTTCCCTCTTAAGCATTTTTAAAAGACAAATATAATGCACAAACAGTGTCAAAGACACAAACTACTCGCTATTGCCTGGGTGAGACTGATGCAGCAAAAAGGAAAGACTTTTGTACTCTATACCCCTTGAAATATCTGAACTCTTAATCATGAGCATATTTATTTTATAGTTAATAAAAAGAGCTTGCTAAAAAACACAATAACGCAGATTAAGCTCTACTCTAATATCCTAGACTTGTAAAATTTTAGTTCTATTTTGTTAATAGGGATCTGCTACATACTGTTACATACTATTTTCCAAATCGATTTAGCAAATAAGGATGCTCACATTAATGACTGGGATTTATAGATTAACCAAAAAATCATCCATTTCTATAAATGAGGCTTCTTTTCATAATGTACGTGGTCTATTGCATGTGTTCACCCCAAGTTTACATTACCAATTATGTAGTAAGTACTAAGAGGAAAAGGGCAATAGCAGCTATCGTATAGTAACTTTCCAGCTGTCACAATAACCACTGAGATTTTATACAAACGGTATTCACATATCAGTAGTGAGGCTGGGCAGAACTTACCTATCGATCACATAAAAGTTGTCACCATCATCTCCTTGATCTATTACATGTTCCCCTTCTTTAACCAATTTTTCAAACATGGCATCTAATACTTGAGACATCTGCTCCTATTTTTTAAAAAGACAGGATATAATCTTTATGTTTATTCAGAACATGCTTTCTTTTTTGTTGTTGTTTTCTGGTACTGGGGATCGACCTCAGGACCTTGTGCTTGTGAGGCAGGTGCAGTGCCACTGAGCTAAATCCCTGGCCCAGAACATGCTTTCTTAAGTAACTATTTAATTACCTTTAGATTTCTGTAAATGATCTCAAAGAAATGGAAATATCATTTTTCCCATTAGTACTGTCAGAAAAACACACAGCACAGCCTCCCTTACTACATTCACGTGAGATGATTATATATTTATATATTAAATACATTCCATATGTAAATAAAAGTAATTATAATTAGAATATTTGCAATATCACCACTTTAAAATAAAAAAAATAACTACCAAACCAACGTACATCTAAATAAGTTAGTAAAGAACTATTTCAAATTTCTTTAAAGATGTCCATTTTAAAAACTTCCCTATTAATCAATACTAGAATTTATGTAGAGATAACCCAAATATTTGGTGAATTGAGACCTTTACTCCAATCCTTTTTTTTTTTTTTTTTTTTTGTTACCAGGATCAAACTCCTCGGGACCTTGCAAGTGTGAGGCAGGCAGCGGAACCACTGAGCTAAATCCCCGGCCCATTCCAATCCTTTTCTATTTAGCAAAAGAACAACAACAAAATAGAAAAACAACAAAAACAACTATGGCAAATACTGTCACTATGCTTTGTCACTAACATTCTCTTCAAAAAGCAATGATCTACCTTACTAGGACCAATTCTGCCACAAAGATCAAAACTATTATTCAACAACTAAAAACATACATTTTTTTCTAAGTGTGGGTGACAGGCTCAAAGATAAACTTTAGCTAATGAGAATAAACTCAGAGGTGAGGGAAATCTTTGCTCCAAACAAATGCAGGGACAATTCAGACAGACGCTTGAGTAGGCAGAACAACTTGAGAAACTACAGTGCTGCTTGAGAGGATTCCATGGTTTGCCACTTGCACATTCTGAACTCTTGGTCAAGTCACCCTCGGTGGGTATAAAGAAGCCATAGCACCAACTGCCCTGGCCAAAATCAGTTATTATTATTATAACCAAATCAAAGAGTTGATAATAAATCTGGAGAGGGAGGGAAGATACAAGTGGAAGAAACAAAATATTTTGCATCAAGAAGGTAACAGGCCACATGTGCTTCTCTTCCTTTGAGACGCCACTAAAACGCTGCAGGGAATGTGAAGCTGTGGCCCCACAGCGGTGTGGTGGATGGGAAGGGGCAGCTCCTGGGTGAAAGCCTCAGAGCACAGGTGAGTGAATGTGGCAGAGGGAGCATCCACGGTGGTACAGATGGGCCGCAGCACGGAGGGGCCAAGGTGCCTAGCAGACCACCAGAAAGCTAATGCCCAAGGTACACCTGGTTCAGTCAGCGTGGGAATGAAAGACTAAACTGAAAACAGGTGGAATGGCTTAAACTCCTACTGCGATCAGCTGATACCTTTCTTCAAATTCCCTCTGCCAGAGCATGAAACACCCAGCAGCCAAGTGTTTGCCTACCTCTCCCCAGACAAGAGATAAGAGAGGAACAACACAAATCCTAGAGAACGAGGATACACACCCATGAGTCCTGCAGCCCTGGACCCAAGACCTCAGTGCCTGGAACCGCGGGTCCCCGTGTGACCCAAGCCTGCTGCACTACTCAGAGCTCTTTCTCAGCTTTCTGCTGCCCCTCTGGCCATCTACAAGACTAAGATAAGCAGCAAAATGACAGCACAAAAGACTGACGTTTCAGGAACAGTGGAGAGCATTTGCAAAGCTGTCCCTGGGTACCTAGAGATACATTAGAGGAATGACATCGCACCCATGGGGAAAAGGATGTGTGACAAATGCAAGTAAGAGGAAAGCAGGGAGCTTCAAAATTCAAAACATGATTGCCAAAATTGTTCCCTTGAAAATGGACTTCAGAGTGGGCACACTAGGCAGACACCCCACACGTCCCTTCCCTGCACGTCTCTGTCACCACTGTTCCACCACAGCAGTACCCGGAGTGCAGGTGATGACCTCTCACTGAGTCGTTATCACCCACAGACCATGTTTGCATTAGGGTTCCATCTTATTTAGATCCACCATTACCGAAGTTCTTAACAAGTAAATAAAAGGGTAAGAAGACAAACTAAAATCAAAGCTGCACAGAAAGCCAATGAAGAAGTAAAAAGACAGGTGCACCAGAGAAAATAATAACCGAAAACAAAAGAGAGGGAATAAAGAAATATGGGATGAATTTTCCAAAAGCAAGACACAAGTTTTCAGGCTAACGGGCATACTAAAATGCCCTGGACAACTGAGGACCAAAAACCCACACTAACATGCCATGATGCATTTTTTGAACACCAAAGATAAAAGATCTACAGAGTTTGGCGGGGTATACCTTAAAGATATAAAATGATGCTCAACTTTTTTCAGAATGAAGAGAAATGCAAATTGAGATTGAAGTGAGAAACTGCACGTGGTGGTGCACGCCTATAATCTCAGCACTTGGGAGGCTGAGGCAGGAGGATCCCCTTTAAATTTGAGGTCAGTCTGGCAACATAGTGAGTTCAAGGCCAGCCCAAACTACATAGTGAGACCCAGTTGCAAAAAAAAAAAAAGATTTAAACGAGATACCACTGTTCACACCCACTGTTCGCATGTCAGATTTTTAAAAGATACAAACGTTAGGATAACACTGTCTTAAAGACGGTGTGGGGAAGAGGCATTCTCACACAAATTCTGATGAAAAGGTAAAATGGAACAACCTCTACAGAATGCGATGTGGTAATCTTTACTAAAATTTCAAATCTGCATGCCCTTCTGCCTCACTGTTCTTTTCCGAGAAAGTTACTGTGAAATGGCACATGCGGCGGCACTTGTCACTGCAGCGTCGTAATAGCAAAAGACCGGAGTCAACACTGATGAGTACCTACGGGCACTGGGAAAATACATCTCGTAGCTCCTCACTAAACAGCTCTGCAGCTGGCCAGAGCATGGTCCATCTTTCCGGGGAGTCGCTGTGTGACTCTCAGAGAAGGGCCTGGGACACTGGCAAACCCGCCAGCGGGGACAGTCAGGAAACGGGGCCTCCAGGTGAGAGGAAAGAAGGCCCTCGCATCAGTCACCTTTGCCTCACTGACACGGCCACTTCCGGAGGCAGAACAGGAGGGCTGGGAAGAGCTGCGTGGAGACTCCAGCAGGGCATAAGGCCCGCCTAAGAACGACACGTCTGGCAGGGCCGGGGCTGCTCTGCAGGCAGGAGCGCCCTGTCACCACAGGAACGTTCAGGTATGGCCTTCCTCCCATCAAACTGCTGAAGAAAGGGCTCAGGGTTTTTCTAACTGTACCCTCAGCACCCAGAGATTTTGCATAGACACTTCAGGGACTGAATCTAACCAGCTGATTTTAATTTCATCTGGAATATATGTTTCTCCATTAAATATTAAAATTAATGGAAATCAATATACTGAGATGGTACATGTGAGTTGCATCAGAAGACTTTGTAGAGCAGTTTTAGGTTCACAGCAGAGAGGAATGCAGAGGCTCCAGTGTGCTCCCTGCCCCAGTCCAGGCACCAGCCCTCCATCAACCGCCCCCACCCAAGGGGGGCATCTGTGATACTCTGGCAAACCCACACTGACCTACCACTATCACCGGGTCTCCATTTACATTAGGCTTCACTTTTGCTGTGGTGCACTCTCGGCCTGGACTAATGGATCACAACACGTATCCCACTACTACAGTATCACACAGAGTAGTTTCATTGCCCTAAAAATCCCACAATTATCTAGAACTCCTAGAAACTACTGAGCTTTCTACTGTTTTGCCTTTTCCAGGATGTCATGTAATTGGAATTATACACTATACAGGCCTTTTCAGATTGGCCTCTTTCACTTAGTAATAGCCATATAAGGTTCCTTTCTCTTTTCGTGACTTGACAGCTCTATTTCAGTGCAGAGTAACATTCCACTGCCTGGATGTACCACAGTTTATTTATCCATTCACCTGCTGAAGGATATCTTGGCCTCTTCCAAGTTTTGTCAATTATGAATAAAGCTGCTATAAACATCTGTATGCAGGTTTTTGGACTAAGTTTTCAACCCCTTTCAGTAAAAACCAAGGAGCATGATTGCTGGAGTATATGGGTCCAAGGATGGTTAGTTCTGTAAGAAACAGCCAAACCTTCTAAAGAGGCTGTACTGCTTTGCATTCCCACCAGCAATGAATGAGAGTTCCTGTTACTCCACATCTTCACCAGGACGTGGTGGTGTCTGTGTTTTGGACTTTGGCCGTTCTGATAGGTGTGTGGTGGCATCTCATTGGTCAGCATTTTCCTGCTGCCATATGATGTAGGGCATCTTTCCATATGCTCATTTGTCATCTGTATATCTTCTTCGATGAGGTGTCTGTTAAGGTCTTTGGTCCATTTTTAAATCAGGTCGTTGGCTTACTGTTAAGTTGGCTCACTGTGTATTTTGAGTAACAATCCTTTATCAGATGTGTCTTACAAATGTTTCTTCCAGTTTGTGGTTTGTCTTTTCATCCTGTTCACAGTGCCTTTTGCAGGCCAGAAATTTTTAATTTTTTTGGTACCAGGATTCAAACTCAGGACCTTGCAATTGCCAGGAAGACGCAGCACCACTGAGCTAAATCCCCAGCCCAGAAATTTTTCATTTTAATGAATCCCAGCTTATCAATTCTTTCTTATATATTGTGCCCTTAGTGGCATATCTAAACAAAAAGCCATCACCATTCCCAGATCATCTAGATTTTCCCCTGCATTATCTTTAAGCAGTTTTATACATTCAAGCTTGTGATCCACTTTGAGTTGAATTTTTTGAGGGGTATGAGGTCAGGGTCTGGGTTCATGTTTTGGCAGGTGATGTCCAGTTGTCCCACTTGTTGAAAAGACCATCTTTGCTACACTGTTTTGCTTTTGCTCCTTTGTAAAAGATCAGTTTATTTATGCAGAGCTGTGT